AGATTTCAAGGTGATCTGTGCTTTTTGCTTATAACTTGTCCTCATTCTCTGACTAAAGGAGTGGCAATACAATCTGACTTGTTCTATTTTCCTCTTGCCTTGCCATTTTGGACATAATCCTTGCCCAGGCTATATTATGCTGGTATGATGAAGGTCAATCAGATGACATATTTCAAATATTACAGTCATGATTTCAGTTGAATTTGCCTAACTTTATTTAAGCAATATAAGATTACACATTGCATAGCTATAACAGCAATATTGGAGCCACCACTGGCATAGAAATTAATAGGTTGCAAAACATTACTCAGCAAGAAGAAATCAGTCATTGACAATGGAGAAAACACATCTAGACTTGACAACAAATTACAATTGATTATTCTTCTACCATTCATGTTGGCATAAGTAATAATTCAAATGGATACTTAGTGCATTTTTCTTAAGATTTTAAGCACATGAGATCCATCCAAAGGCACAGACTCGGAACAAAGGCTGTGTTATAAACAAGGATATTGCACCTTTTCGGTATTTTAACCCTCGCCGGACCTATTGGTTTTCTACATACGCGCCGGCCGAGGGGGGGGGGGGGGGGGCGGGTACGACCCCCCCCCCTCGCCGTTTCGCCCCTGGTGGAGCTAGCGCGTCGCGGAAAAAACGAGCGTGTGCGCCGTTACGAGACGCAGAGATTGGTACCCGATTTTAAGGTCCTAGGTCAACCGGTGACCTCTGAGGTCAGGTCAAGTGCCCCAGGGTACGGTTCAGTTTTTGGTGAATAACTTCGCAAAAAACGGCCGCAGAGCGCCGATTTTGGCAGCATCGTGTTCGCCTCGCTCAGGCGCGTCGAATGATATACTTTTTGTCCGGGTCAGGTCAACTTGGGGTGTTGACCTCAGGTCAAGGTCAGGTCAGCACCCCCAGGTCACGAAGTTGGTCGAAAGAGGTCATGTCGCATATCATTCGATTCGGCAGGCCTTCCTGAGTCCATTGGTGCCTTTCCCGACTCGCTAGCTCAATTTGATCAAGAGTTATTGACGAAAAACTAATTTGACCTTGATGACGTCATAAATGACGTCACGCAAGGTCAACATTGCAAAAATGACGCATCTAACCTTGCAAGGAGTGCATCAAATCACGATTCTGTGTGCTTGAGATAGTTGGAGATCGTTCCCGGCGCCAGAATAGCAGTTTGAATTTTTCCCCATTGACTTATAATGGTGAGGTCACGAAAATGACCTGACCTCATATGACCTTTAGGAAAAATCCGAGATATACAAGTTGTGGGACTCATAATGGATACTAGATCCTGCAAGTTTCATTTCCCTGTGACATCTCCTCTGGCAGTGAGGGCGTTGCGAAGTTGCGACATCTGAAGACCGTGCAGAGGTTCACTTATGACGTCATAGGTCAGTGACCTGACCTGACCTAAAAATGCGGTTGGTGTCAAAAGATCCGGCTTGGATCAAAGGTCAGGTATGCCAAGTTTCAGCTCTCTATCGCCAGCGTGTTCGGAGCTATCGCGAAAAAAACCTATGGGGGGGCGGCACCCGCCCCCCCCCCCTCGGCCGGCGAGGGTTAACATGTTGTTATATTCCGACATCCTAAGAAAAATGATATGGTAATCTGCCCTGCTTCATTTGATACGTATCGATGAGTAATTGGATGTTGCGGGAATGCAGTTAGTTTTCCCGGCAGTTGTCTCCAGCAGCCACAAAATGGCCGCTTACTTTCTGTCAAACATTTGCTTTCATATGGCTACATTAATTTCACTTAGTCTAACTTTGTCTAGCAAATCTCCAGTTTTACTTCGGAAAAACCGGCAGCGTGTTCCACATTGGTGACCCCGCCAGGCGAGGCAGTTCCGTCGGCCGTCGATGTCCTACGGTCATATAATCCCCAATAAAACTAGCGCGTCGAACGATCGGCAGCATGGATGGTCTCACACCATCCATGGCAGGGACCGACCTCACAGAGCCACGCAGAAAACAGGAATATCGGATTTATCTGCCTCTAAACTGTAATGTATGAATGCGTCGTGAAAATTTTACAAGACAGCTGAGGTTTGCTAAGCAAGAAAAAATAGACCAGGATCTGTATTAGCGAAGAGATTAGCGATGCACGTGAAATGTGTATAGATTGCAGTATACCTAGATGTAGTCAGCGATGGATTATAAAAGGATTTAAAGCCGCTTCTTAAAGCCTACAGTCAAAACGTTTTCTGAACGTTTGTGGTCCTCAATATGATAGATATTCCATAGCAATTTAATGGGCTTCGTCCCATTAGCAAATATTGCAAAATCGTCCTCAAATAATGTTTTCTTACCTAAATGAAGTAATGTTGATCCAGGAAAAAACTTGTTACACACTCCTTAAAGTTTCATATTCCTAAACAGAAACACTGATGTGCACCGTACACTGCAGCGTTACGTCACTTCACCTTCAGCCCGCCAAGTAGTAACTGCCCCACTAAACGGGAGAGGGACGCTATGGGACGGCAGATGGACGCCCGTCTGGTCCATGTGGAACTGAACCCTCATTGGATGAGAGGAATAAATTGAGCGTCCCGGTGGTTTTATGAGGGTAGTTCTTGACTTTCCAGTGTTTCCAGACACAGTCAACAACCAGACCGCCTCACTCTAGTCTATTTATACACCACCAGTGTCCAGTATGCATTTCAGGTGGAGGTGTACCAAGTCCTGCCTCGCACTTTGCCCAAATCAGCGCATACTGTATGTCTGTCGGCTTCTTAAAAAAATGACGATATATCTGCGGATAGCTTCAGAAATAAAAACACTTCAGGAATAGCGTTTACGTCCTGTAAATATTAATCACTGTAATGTAAATAACCAGCTTTACTTGAAAGTATAGATATGTTGGGATATACCTAAGGATGATCGGTGAGACAAACCGGAGCCATCGGAGACCGTGTAGGAGACAGGCTGGGCTATTTGTGCACCTGTGGGTCATTGGTTGACCTTCCAGGTCAGGTCAATGACCCAAAAGTCGGGAAATCGGGACGTGTTAGAAAGTCGTAAAGCGTGGCTGCTATGGGATTTTTCGGGGTGCTGATCACGAATATCATGTTAGTTTTGATCACAGATGATGTCCTTATGCATTTAGGCCAGGTCGGGTCAGGTCAGGTCAGGTCAACCAGTAAGGGTATTCGTAGTAGGTGGCAACCGCCTCTGATAGCTTCGTAACATGTTACGAAGGCACCAAAACTACTACGTAAATGTTTATATGGTTGCTAAATTCGAATTCAGCTCCGGAAACTGGCCTAGAAACATGTAAACTCAAAAAAGTGAATCGAGGTCATCAAAGGTCAATGACCTGACTTGACCTTCCGGTGGCCTTGACACCCACCCTCATGCATGGGAGCAACATCATATCCCATGTTTGAACGCTTAAAACCACGAAAAGACTGCAAACGCGCTGCTAATGCGAGCCGACATACGCCGAATCGCGATTCCGGCCAAACATGGTCTCGAAAAGTAGGTCACAGGTCAAAGGTTATTAAGGTCAGGTTCATGAAAATTTCAGGGTAGGTGTAAAATTGATTAACGCGAGGGTACTGAAAGTTTCGTTGCGATCGGCCGCTTTTTAAGCGAGTTATTTGCGAAAAACCGAAGGGGGGTCCGTTCGACCCCCCTTATACGGGCGAGGGTTAAATAAAAGTAGGGGTGAAACTAAGTACAACGGGAACTACGTAGCTTATGTCACTTATCAAGTGGAGGTACTGGTTTACTGGATGGCTGAAGTGGTTCCGTGATCAAAATAACGCGTTTCAAGCATCAGTAGATGTACATACCTAAATGGCAACTCATCACAATGGATTCCAGCAGCATGTAAACCTACGGCACAATTGACGACTAGCTGTCACGGCATTGGTGTGCATTTAACCCGGCAGTTGCTGGGGTATTTCGCCACCCACCGTTTGCTGGGGGGGGGGGGGGCGTTAAACGCCCCCAGCCGATAACTCGAGAACCAATAGGCGCAGCGAAACGCACGAGGCGGCAAACGAAAGAACGCGACGAGACGCTTCAGATGAGTACTTTAAAGTTGAATTTTGAGGTCACGGGTCGGGTCAAGGTCAGGTCAAACACCTGAAATCGGGCTTTCAGTAGCATGGACTTCAGGACTTCGCAATGGGCGCCTCTCGTCATAAACTCTGTCAAAACGGTGCACAATCCATCATATAAGGCCTACAAGAGTGTCAGCTCCATGTAGGGGTCAGCCAAGCATAGGTCAGGGTCAAGGTCAGGTCAACCGGGCAGGCACATATCCCCGAAAATCAAAACTGATATTCGCAGCCTGTGACACATGTTTTATGGGTACTTTGGGGCGTAGAACACGATGGTGACATTCATTTTATCATATGTGTACGTGTTTGGCTAAAAAAGTTCAATTTAAGAAATGCATGTGTCATGGTCGTGAAGTAGTCACGAGAAATTGCCATGATTCAGTTCAAGATTTTGGAAAATGCGGAACGATAATCAATAATCGAAGATAGCCATTTGATTGTTCATGGTATTGGCAGTCTAATGGCGTTTACGTCATGTCTGTATGTCTATTCTGTGATTTTATATGATTTTTTGAACATATGCCGTTTTTGGTCGAAAACTCAGAAATCATGACGTCACTAAAACCTCGATATCTCAAAAATTTTCCGACCGATTTTTTTGAAACTTTGTCACAATAAACTTCAATCAATTCCCTACAGGTGCCCAAAATTTGGCGCGCCTGCGGCGCGCCGTTTTTATGCTATGGCCCGGCGAAAAAAGTGGGGGCGTTTAACGCCCCCCCCCCAGCAACTCGCGGGTTAATCATTCTAATTTCTGATGTCTCCCCAGGCGTTGGACATGATCCGATCTATTTCATCACGAAAAAAAAACATATTTAATAGGTACGCGATCCCAACAATTGTGATTGACTATCACTGCAACCTTCGGGAATAGGCGTCCCTGCTCTCTAACTAAAATGGCGACGTGTTGTTTACAGCCGATAATTGGTATCGATGCAGGCGTCAGATGACTGATGGGAGGGTCAACCCAATGACCGGCCTTGAAGCTGAACATTTGGGCGGGGTCCCCTGCCGCCTGCCATGGTAACGATGCAGGACTGCAATATATAAATGTTCGTGGCAGTGGTGATCGGCAGAACATCAACACCTTCACACCGACACGTCTCAGAATGGCTGCTCGTCTGGTGAGTACCGGGAAACCGGGCGCAACGCCCCTTTTAGACTATTCTCCCTTCGAGTGCACCCACGACAAGGCGCACTGTCGGTTCGTCTGTAATGTCCTGTTGGTCCTTTGAAGCGGGCGAGCTGGTTCTTATAACCATTAGGCGTCAAAGATGGCTTAGAAGAGAAGAAAATGTTTTACTTACTGATCAGCGTTTCCATTAAATCTCAGTTTTAAATACACAAGACAATGATTGCGAATGATACAACAGCTGTTGAACGGTTAGTCCTGTTTATAACACTGGAAATGTTACAGGTCGTATTGGGTTTGCTGGTCGCTGGCTGCCAGTGCTGGAAGCTCCCGGTCGTCAACCAGGGACGCCGGGCCCAGTACTACACGCAGCAGAACGACGGCTCCTACAGCTACGGCTTCGACACCGCCGAGGGCCTCTATCAGGCCCAGGAAGGCGATGACTTCAATGAGGTGCGCGGAAAGTTCGGCGCCGATGGCGGCAGCGTCGAGTACACTGCCGGCGTCAACGGCTACGTGGTGACGTCCCTCAAGGAGCCTAGTGCTCCCTCCACCAGGACCTACGTGAGCCAGACCCCCGTCCGCTACGCTACCCTGGAGGAGCTGGCTACGCACCCTGAGCAGGTAGAGGACACCGCCGAGGTCAAGGCTGCCAAGGCCACCTTCAGGGCCACCTACGATGCCCTGGCTGCCGCTGCCGAGGCTGCTCCTGATGTGAACATCATCACTGGTCCTGCCCCTGCTGCTCCCGTCCACTCTGTTACGTACAGCGCACCGGCTGTCCCAGCTGCCCCGATCACCGAGGAGACTTCCTTCACAGCTCAGGGAGCTTTTGACGACAGTAATACCGTCCCTGCCGTGCGCGCCAGCCACGATATTCTACACAGCATCACCTTTGATGACGTCAACCTGATGGTTGCTTATCCTTTTGAAGCGAGTAAGATCGGATACTCCTACGAATAGATCAAACAATGCTTTGCGACTCGAAACATCTCTGTCCGACAACTGGCGTGCAAGGCCAATGCTTGATAATTTGACTACGCTGTTGTAGAGCTTTTTTTTTACAAGATATAGGTCCAGCTTTCGTGGTTTTGGTTGTTACCGGCACCGCGAGTTTCCTGTCTATGTGTTTCTGTCGACCAATCGAATCTTCTGTACGATAGTGTAAGTAAGTAAGAATATGTTTACATAGGTAAACATATTCTTACTTACAGCAATGTCTTTTTTCTGTACATGCTTACAATCGCGACGGCATATAAGCTCGGGTTGGAATCATGTGGCAAATACATTTCTCAGCGCACCTCAGTTATTTCATGCCGCCAAAAGGCAGGGCATTGAATGTTTAACTTTACAGTCCAATCTCAAGTCAGGTGCACTAAGTTACGGGTTTCGTTTGTGATGAAAAACCTGGCCAACAGTCGCAATGCCACGATTTTCACACCATCTACATGTACAAGTATGTACTTCGTCGGTTAATATTCTATTTGTTTGGTTGAGGTCAACCTTAAGTGTTAATCTCAGTTCAAGGTCAGGTCAAAGACCCTGAAGTCATGATGCTGGTCTAGGGAATGCTATATTAAAATTTCACATAAATTTTACTTTCATAATAGTTACTCCATTTGTTTTTATTTGTATTTTATTGTATTTGTTCTGGGGTAAAATTCTATTTGGCTGTTTGGCTGAGGCCAACTTTTGATATTAATCTCGGGTCAAGGTCAGGTCAAATACAATCAAGTCACGAAGCTGGTCGAAGGAATGCGATATTGTAATTTTCATAAATTTAAGTTCCATAATACTGACACCCATTTAGTGTTAAGCTCTGACCCGGATCAAAACTTTGCCTGCATCTGAGTGTTAAAACCCGCGCCCCGCTGGGGGGGGGGGCAGAATCTGCCCCCTCCCGTTTTTCGCCAATAACTTTTAAACGCGTTACGCCAGCGACGTCAAACTGCCAACTTTCGGTACCTTATTATACATCAATTTAAGACGTTTCCTGACAATTTTGAGCGAAATCCGTTGGAAATATTTTGATAAAATGACGTTTTAGTGATGTCATGTTCGCCATTTTCGCCTCAAAAACTGCAAAACTTCAAACGCCGCTAACATCCTCATTTTAAAGCAATCAAGACGTAACAAAAAAGATTATACGTGATTCCACTTTTTCTATCAAATGGCTATCTCAGTTTTTTGACAATTTTGGATTTTGGTCCAATTTTTTTCTTTCAAAAACTGACTTTTGTGGGAAAATAATTATAGATCCAAAATTTTGAGTGTATCGAAAAAAACGAAATATATTTATTAGAGAAGTGGTCTATGTGCACCTACATACCAATTTTTAAAGGAATCGGTTCAAAAATGTGGGAGGTATTTCAAATTTTTATGACGTCACGACACACAAAATGAATTTTTTTGAAAGTTCTAGACCTCATACGGAAACAAAAATAACACCATTCGATTCGCCGTGAAAAAACTGCATCAGATAGACACCTTTTTAGGCCTTAACAACCAACTTTAAAATTTGACCTCACTTGACCTGACCTTGACCTGACCTCTGACCTATTTAAGCAAAAAATGGGCTCGTAAGATCCGCCTTGTTGAGAGCTTTCGATTGCCGTTTTCCCCGTCTTTCTACGACCATCGGTTCGGAAGTTAGACAGGGGGGCAGAATCTGCCCCCCCCCCCCAGCAGGGCGCGTATGGCTGAATAACCCAGCGGGGCGCGGGTTAAATACCACTAAACATGTTCGCATCCTTATTATAATCGCTTTATTTAACCCGCGCCCCAGTGGCGGTCTCAGCCAACTTCACCCTAGTGGGGGGGGGGGGGCATATGTTACCACCCACCTCTAACTCAAAAACTAAGAGGGCTAGAAAGACGCAGTAAAAAGCAATCGATAGCTCTCAATGCGTACATTTGAAAGTATTTCAGTCATTTTTCATCTTAGAGCAATATTGGGGTCACCAGAGGTCATCAAAGGTCAAAATTTGCCAATTGTCAGTATATTTTTCAGAAAACATGCCGTTGTCTCAGGAACTATGGTAGCTAGAAAAACGCATGGAACAGCAGTCGATAGCTTTTGAACTCTTCTTTTGATAAGGTCATAATCGAAATTGACCTCAGGTCAACGGTTTAGCCCCCAGTGGGCAAACACTCCAAAAATAGATGTTTTTACGAAAAGTGTTTTTCGACAATAACTTTCGACTACAAAAAGCCACGACATTTCCATTGCCAGAATCGTGTTCCTCTCGCCGAGACGCGTCGAATGAACTATAATTTGACCTTGAAAGGTCAACTTGAAAATTTGACCTCAGGTCAAGGTCATGACCTGACCGGAAAAGGTCATGTTGCATATCAGTCGATGCGTCTCAACAAGACAAACACAATGAGACCATCCCCAGCGTTCTATCTCTTTCCAATCGCGAGTTATTAGCAAAAAGCTGTTTGTAGCCTAAAATGACCTCGGATGACCTTTCTAGAGGCTATCAGCAAAAATGACACCTAGGTCATCACGAGTGGTCCAAATCATTGTGATTCTGAAATATTTGGACTGTTCCTATGCGTACACACGGATCTAAAGGCATTTTCATTTTTCTCCATTGACTTGTAATGGAAAGGTCACGCCACTGACCTGACCTTAGGTCACGGATATAAAAATCCGAGATATGTAAATTGTAGGCGCCCATAACAGCATGCAATCCACCAAGTTTAAAACCTTTCTGACAAACACTGCGGGCTGGACATGATTGCAAACTTTTTTTTAGGCTTGGTCAGTTAACTTGACCTGGTGACCTGACCTGACATGACCTGGGATCAAAAATTTCACACATTGTCCAAAATTGATGTACCAAGAGCTACCCCAAGTGGCGCGGCGCTACGCGCCGCGGTTTTTTATTCACACGCAAAAAACGCGACAGGGTGGTAACATATATGCCCCCCCCCCCCCCACTGGGGCGAAGGTTAAATGATTTATTGGCATGGACTGACGACGATGCCAACGCTAAAGGTACCTATAATATTATCTTTTTGCGGAGAGACTGAGCTAAAGCCTTCTTTTTACAGTAGGCAGCAAATCATTATGTGAATCAAAAGCAAATCAGCACCTAGCCGCAGCGTTATTTTCACGTCAGTTCACTCTGCAGCTGCTGCACTGCGGCCGAGTCGACACGCCAAAAGTGAGGCAAGTGAGGTGAGCGAGCCTCAGTCATCTCCACTGACTGAGGCGACATCTAAACAACGTGCGCCTCAGTTATCCAGGCCCCCGTTATCCAGTTATCCAGCATTCCATTGTGGTATACAGTTTATTATTGAGTCGCACCGCCATGGTGTGAGGGGGCGTTTTTTGGCCACAACTGCCAGGTTTTTTTTTTGCGTGTGTATTAAGAAAAAACATATTAATAGCCGTTTTCACGACGGGCTATCCGGCGAATGCACCTGATTGGACCAAATATCCACCTAATTTCTTGTACAGCAAATATCTTCATCTTATGAATTTATTTCAGTGTTTTAATCGATGATGCTCTCTGATAAATGACAAAACAGGCATATAAGCAATTAGTGCAACCCTAGCTGATAGCTGCTAAGAGACACACTGAACCTGATTTGACCAAATCTGCACCTAATCTGTACCAGATGTGCACCAAATGTGTACCAGATGGCCGTCGTGAAAACGGCTAATATCGCACCATGTAAGAAATTTTTGACCCCAAGTCACAAGCTCAGGTCAACAGGTCAAGTTAGTGACCATGCCTCTTAGAATTTTGTGATTCTGTTATTCCTACAGTTACCATTTCATAGAAGTTTGAAACTCGGGCTATTGTATAAGGGAATCAGTAGGTACAATTTGTATATCCCATTTGCACCAACAATTTGTATACCTTGGAAATTCGATGTCGGTGACTTAAAAGGTTATGTCAATTTTGCGACTTTTCCACATTAGGTCATTGGGAGAAAATCAAAATGTTCGTTATGAACGAAACGTTCAAACACAGAATACAGGTAAGCATGTCTCACTGAATCGGAAAATTGCACCTGTGACCCCTTTTTTTGCCCCTTAAAGTCATATCAGGCCATGTTACTCGACAAAGTGTTTTATAATAACTTCAGAGAGAAGCATGCCTGTGCTCGGAAAATACCATGGATGCAATCTGCTCCACGATACATAAATCGACTGATATGCAACATCACTTTTTTGTGACCTTGACCTCAGGTCAAATTTTAAGTTGACCTTTCAGGTCAACTTATAGTTCATTCGACGCGTCCCGACGAAAGAAACGCGATGCCGGAAATTCAACGTAATACAAGCTTGGTGCAAAATAAATTATTTAATAACAAAATATATACTAGGCACCCGAACAAACGTCAAAGTTTGAGTTTTTGCCCTCTGGAAGTTAAACCGTTGACCTGAGGCTAAATCATCTGAGAGCATTGAAGAGCTTTGAAGAGCTATCGATTACGCTTTGCCGCGTTGGTGTAGTTATATTGGTTCCCGAGTTACGCGCCGATTGGTAAGTTCCGTTCCGTTCCGTTCCGTTTATTGAATATAATTTGGGATCACACATTGAACAATGTATGGCACTGTCAAACGGGATTGGTCGGATAGAGATTCACGTGTTAGTTTTGTTAGAAAAGGGACAGTGTTAAAGGTTACATTGGGGAGTTTGACAGTGCCTAGCCAGACGGTAACGCAAAAACGAGACCAAAAGACGAGTCAGCGGTCGTTCCAGAGAGCGGCGACCCAGCACCGCTGCCGAGCGCAGCGGTCATCCGGCACCCGGCGCCATGCCCCAGCCGGACCTAGGTGGACAGTTCAACAATGGGGATGGTGCCCGCTCTACTGGCGGCGCCACCCCACAGCAGCACGACGATGTTGCAGCCAGCTGCCAAGTCAGGAGGAGGGGTGAGGGTTATCGACGCCGGCTGCCTCAGAAGTTGCCTCAGAAGTTGTCAGAATCCTCGTCACCAGCAGTAACCACAGCGGTGACCTGATCGAAAATGAACTCTTTGTCTGAAAGATCTTATTGCGATCTATCCGCCTTTTACCGCGTCTGTCTAACTGTGCTGCTTTCTGAGTTAACGCTTTATAGCCAAATAGTCCCCCTTCCCCCCCCCCCCACACACACACCATGACGATTGGCGAAGTTGGCTGAGAGGCCCACTCGGGCGGGTTATTGAGGCGACTTAAGTCCTATAAAAGATTTGTTGTCAAGTAAAGTACCATATTAGAGTATGTAACAAAGCCCGCTCTACATTATTTTATGGTGCCTGTTTTTCAAAAAGGTTCGTCCAATATCCGTCTCCTGGGGAAAAATCCTGGCCCCTTGAAATCTGTCCAAAGCAAGGTTTTTTTCGATAACCGTCCGAAAGTGGGATATGAATAGAAAGTGGTGCTAGTTTCAGAAACTGCTTGTCCAATGATGAATGAAAATGTGAAGAATTGAACCTTGCATACCTCCCTGTGAAAGGCTGCTCTGCACTGAAAGTGCGGAGTTGCGACATTCTAGGACCGTCCAGAGGTTCACTTATGATGTCATAGGCTAGTGACCTGACTTGACCTAAAATCTGGTTGGCGTCACAAGATCTGGGTTGGATTAGAGGTAGGTATGACAAGTTTCAGCTCTCTATGGCCAGCGTGTTCCGAGCTATCGCGTAAAATAACTGGGGGGGGGGGGGGGGCGGCACTCACCCTCCTCCTCGGCCGGCGAGGGCAAATTCATTTTTTCCCTGAGCTGAGGCAATGACCAAAAAACGCCCAAATGACCCAAACGCCCTCTTCCCATGGATCCGTCAGTGCAAGTCAAATGCAAAAATAAGCTCATGTTCGGGTGGTAGATGAGTTGGAACGAAAAAATAAGACCACTATATTCTGCGAAGATTATGTAAAAAAGGCCGATCTAGTTAGTACAGGGTTGTCTCCCATGCTCTTGCACTCCTTTATACGTGTTCCGTTTCACTCGTTTTTATTTATATTTCACTCGTTTTATTTTTTATATTTGGATCGAAGTTCCTACCTTAACAAAATTGTACCCAGTGCATCATTGCATACTACTAGGCGAATTTCCAACTTAAGGTGAACGCATTAATTACATATTTATTTACCATATGTCATACCAAAAACACAAATCGAACATCTTGGAACACCACACAAAATAGCGCATTGTCGAGCGAGCACCACTCGCAATGCCCCTTCACATGGCAGCAGACTTCAGTGATGGTGAGTCATCTGGCCAAACCTGAATTTCATGGAGGTGATAACGTATCCGCCAAGTCTGTGGCCGGGGAGGCAATTCTCCTTCACAGCCCTTGCAACGATTATATCTGTTCCAGCTCGAAAGCAGGCAGACAATACGCATTGGTATCATGACTGCTTTGCAACGTCTAACCCATTTCTGTACGCACATCGCTTGTTAAATATTGTCATTAAACTCCAAAGGAAGCTATTGTATGTTCTTAAAGAGGTCCAATTAGTTTTCAGAACAAAAGTAGGCGCCCCAAAAGAGCTTTCGGAGAACTGACATTCGAGTGTACGCTTCCGGCCCTCTGGCTCTGACCTCGGCGGGAGCGGCACGACCGCGGCGCTCAATTGTTGGGCGGCAGGTAGGTGTCGTTGATCTGCGAGGGTGCCGCCTGCTTCATGTGACCGCCCAGCGCCAGGCCGGAGACCATCTGACTGGGGTGGACGGCCGCGTCGTTCTGCGGAGCCGCCACTGACGAGTAGCGCGTCTGGGAGCTGGCGCCGATCGGCTGCGGATTCTGGAAACCGTTACCGGCCGGGGCCTGGTCCCGCTGGAAACCGGCAACGGCCTTCTGGAATCCGTTACCGTTCTTTGTCTGAGCCCTCTGGAATCCATTTCTGTTGTTATTCTGAGCCCTCTGGAATCCGTTTCCGTTGTTCTGAGCTCTCTGGAATCCGTTTCCGTTATTTGTCTGATCCCTCTGGAAGCCGTTTCCGTTGTTGTTCTGAGCCCTCCGGAATCCGTTTCCGTTATTTGTCTGATCCCTCTGGAAACCGTTTCCGTTGTTAGGCCGAGGACTCTGGAAGCCGTTTCCATTGTTGGACTGGACCCCGTTCCCCCGGTAGGCGTTCGGTCTCTGGAGCGCCTCAGCCTGAGCCTCGGCGAACTTCTCGAGGAAGGCTGCCTTGGCCTCGGCCACCTCTGGGGTCTCCTGGACCTGCATCGGCAGGTGGTCGCCCTCGGGCACAAAGCCGATGCCGGCGCCAGCCTTGTAGCGCACCTCGTACCGGTTCTGGTCGTCGTCGGCCACGAAGCTGAAGTCTCCCTCGTAGTAGTTGGTGTTGAGGTTGATGTCCTCAGAGCGCGCCGAGTCACCGGCGTCGTACTCCCAGTGGTAGATGCCGTCCGGTGAGAGCGAGGTGATGATCTCTGCCGGCGGGTACTCCTTGCGCGGCCTCTCGGCCTGGCGCAGTGCGTACTCGGGCACCGGGCCCTGCACGGACTCGTCGCGCGTCACCACGAAACCGTCGCGGCCGGCGCTGAACTCGACGTCACGGCGCAGACCGTCCGGGTGCACGGCGTAGAAGGAGCCCTGCACCTCGCCGTCGCGGTCGGCCGCCTCGTCTCGGCCGTGGTCGCCGGCGTCAAACTGGAACTGGTAGGAGGCGTCCGTGTTGGGTGTGTACTGGCCGTCGCGGTAGAGGCCGTCGTCGCCGGCGTACAGTTCCGGCTTCCAGGTGCCGTCGTCGAACTCTCCGTTCACCTCGTCGGGGCGGTACCGGCCATCATCGAACTGGCCGCCGACGCCGTTGTTGCCGTTAAAGCCGCCGTTATTGCCGTTAAAGGCACCGTTGAAGCCGCCGTTGTTTCCGTTAAAGCCGCCATTGTTTCCGTCAAAGCCGTTGTTGCCGTTGAAGGTGGCACCATTGTTAGAGCTATAGCTAGCAGCGCCGTTGCCGTTGAAGCCAGCTCCGCCATTGTTGTTGAACCCAGCTCCGCCGTTGTTGTTGAACCCAGCTCCGCCGTTGTTGTTGAGTCCAGCTCCGCCGTTGCTGCTGAAGCCGGCACTGCCGGAGTTGCCGTTGAAGCCGGCGCTAGCCCTCAAGGTGCCGGCGTTGTTGCTGAAGCTGGCGCTGCCGAAGCCGCCGTTGCCGAGGGAGCCGCCGGCGGACGAGCTGGTGCTGGTGAAGGTGGTAGCGCTGCCGCTATGATCGCCGAGAGACCGGTGCTCGGGGCCCTGGGGCAGCTTGGCACTCAGGCCACCAGCCACCAGGCACGACAACTGCAACACAACCCCGGGCCGCTGAGTCAGGCTGGGGCGGCGAGCATGCTCGAAACACGTATGTGCCGGATTGGCACAGGCCTGGTTAGATGAACGATAGTCGTGTCGATGCTAATATTCAATTCAGGAAAATTTTAAACAAATGATAAGTCGATAGTCGACAGTTACCATAAATTGACATGGTGACTGGGTCAATCAAACCTGCTATCCATTCTGTAGGGAGAGTGGACTAGCGGTGAAGGTCTTCTCTACATAGAGACACTAATTGAAGCCACTGTCTTATTAGAAAAAGCAGCAACATGCCCTGGTATGCACCGCTGCACGGTGCATGCCATTCAACTGAATGCCGTCTTATCATAGGGGCCGACCACTTGTTACTTCGTACACATGATGACCGGTTCGAGTCATAGATATTTGAAGCTGTTCTGACGTCGATAAGTGTAACCGAATGACTTATCAATGGTCAAAGTTATCTGTGCATCAGCATACTTTGGGGCGAGTCGTTATGAAAGGTCCAGTTCGACCCATTCTAATTGACAACATTATCTATTCATCGATGAATCACTCGCATTGTCTTTCAGTTAGGTCGTGGTTGAATCAATGAAGGGAATGTATAATACAATTATCTCTAGTTAGGTAATGGTGTTACATTATCTGTGATTCGCAAGAGTGCCTCGCTATCTAATAGCCTTTCGTCAGGCCCTATACTGCACTATAATTATGTTAAAAATATCCCTATCAATCAAAACAGGTAAAACTCAAATATTGAACATTGCTATGACTGTCGAACGTCATTTTAAACTCGTACTATGATAAGCTGTCCTGCATATAATTGTTACCAAAAGAAGCGTAAAAATCCAGTAATTTTGCATTCTAAATGTGTCTAACACAAAAAAAATATTCGGCATTGAAATCAACGACAATAAAATATTCCAAGTAGTAAATATTATAACTAAGGTATGAAGTTCTTTGACGCATTGAACAAATTAGGTATGCCTCAATCTATGAATGTCATACCTAAACTAAAAATTGTCCAAAGCTTCTTCCAAATCTAGAGCTATAAGCAAGTCAACAGAGCCGCACGCTAAACACCAGCCCTTCCACATAATTAGCACTCAGCAGGACCTCCCTGACACCACTGCAGCGCACTCAGTCTCCGCCGTACTCACCAGCACTATCCTGAGCATGGTGATCGCAAGACTGACGTCGCACGGCGCATCCTTTTCATTTTATACCTCGACGTCCGGGAGCATGACTTCCCAGGTCCGCGGGCGCACTCGGGCCTGACCTTTGGCGCCCGGTGTCAGGGTCACGGCGCCGCCGCCGCCGCCGCCGCGTTCCCACCGCTGCACAGCCGCCGACCGGAACCTGCAGCCCGACAAACAGCGCTGTCGAACAGCGCCTGTGCTCGGGCGCAGCTCGGGGAGTCTTCACGGCTCCCTGACACGCCACAGCCCGTTACGAGGTGTCACACAATGTCACGGCTGCTTCCGTGACGCAGGCGCCGCCCCACGACGAACGGGAAAGATGGCTCCATTTGAACGAGAAGACGCTCCCGGTCGTGGGGACCAGTGAGGTGATACATCCGCCTCCTCCCCCCTCCCCCCCCCCCGTGGAGTAGGTGTGACTGGCCGATGACGTGGCTCTGCGCGGCGCAGGCTGTGACGCACCAGTGAATGGCCCGCTCAGAACACTGACAAAGGTCCGCCGGACGCGCCTCTGCCAGTTCCGTGACCGTAAATCGTGCCCAGAGATATTGATAACGGTCATCAATTAACTGTTGTAGGCTCAGCGCTACCGCTGCCACCGACATCTGTATCTGTTCGTTTTTGTTCAGTGTTCGCTGAGAAATAAGCCATCTGGTTTTAAAATCGATATACCTCATGCGGTGCGGGTGTAGTCTGACCTCATCGCAGATAGTTCACGGCCACCTTGACCCTGCGATGGAGCAATGAACAATCCATTACGCAGACAGACGCCTCCGGCGCTAACTATCGGCGGGATAACATCTGGTTGTTGCATGCGGCGGGCCCGGTAAGTGTCGATTGGGTGGTTCCGCCGGCGCGGAATCGCTGGCACCCGGACGTTCCGCGCAGACGAATGGTGCCTGGACGTGACCGACCAAAACCGCGCCGTTTGGAGTCTGTGCACGCTGTGCATTGTGCATACAAATCACCAGGGAAGCCCCATGGAGACGACCAAAACGCCATAATGACGCGACGACTGATGAGGATGTTCCGGGTAGTTGTGCTATTCTAGTGTGTACGCTGTTCGCCGACATTCACTGAGAGCATATGAATGATGACCAGCGATATTATTCTTTTTTCTTAACAAATTATACTCAAAACAAATATGCAATCAAATGGTTAGGACGGTAGACCAGCCGTTTGAGTTTGATAACTCGAGTTGGCCCGGGCCTGGTGTCCAGTGCGTAATCAACTTCTGTGACACCATAAGGCACACCTGTATGGACACACATTCTGTGAAAAGAGTTAGTGCAAAAAGTCACCCGCGAGAGCGCAGTTGACAGGCCCAGAACAGTAAGGGCCCATGACGACCAACTGATGAACACCTAGGCTTCTGCTGAGGACAATGAACAGCATCCTTACCTTCAGGACTGAGAGCCCTCATTCGACTGGTCACAGAACGGCAGTGGGAAGTCCAGCCAGCCTCCGGAGTGCTATCTACGACGATCAGTGAACTCGGCCCGTCTCCGGAACACCCGGTCTGCCAGGGTCAAGTGGCTCAGACAGATGCTTCCGAGCGACGCTTTTCTGTTATTGTTCAGACGTGGAATGCCATAGACGGTCAATCGGCTATTGTGTCCCCATTTGGGGGAATCACGGGACTTCAATCTGACGATCAGGAAGATTCACTGGGCTCAGGAATATTCACTTTCCGATTGACCTGACGCTGATGCCCATGACCTTTAGTGACTGTAGTTAGTTTCATCGGACTGCACATCTCTCTGGTATTTTGTGAGGTTCCGCGCCAAGACGTCACGGTGCAGTTTCTGACGAACTGGGAGGGCGTGCTCAATGCTCATCCACCCTGTCACGGCCATACAATGCGGATACGGACGAAACACACGCCAACCTCGTTAGGTGACGTGGCTTTGGGTCGCTCTACTGCACATGGAGCACGACTTTGGTAAATTACCGGAGCTCGGATAATGTTAATTTGAAAATTATTTCAAACCGCTCATGAATGTGCATGCAATATTCAAGATCGCGCGTATCAAGCAAAAAGCGAATCATACGAATAAGTTAAAGGGACCGGGCTCCCACCTTCCAAAAAGTTGATGAATTGGTATAAAAGTGATGTCACTTGGCTCGGAAAAATCAAAAATGCAGATCTACCAAATTTCACCGAAAAATATTCACTGGTTTTCAAGATATTAGGCTTTTACTTGTGTTTACTCTTTGGGATCTCCGCTGTTCCTAGCGACTTATTTGGAGGCAATAATTTGGCAGCCTCGAAGTGCGGCAGACGTTGCGCTCAAAGCAGTGTACTGTATACCACCGCGTGTTAACGATGGTTTTACTCTAAGATTAAAAATAGTTAGATCTCCGCTGACGTCACAAATTCTAAGGGGGCATTCCAATGCATAAGCCCCTTACTGAATGCGAAAAATGCAAGTTTGAAATTCTGTGTCTCCGAATTAAAGCATTTTTCGATGTTGTGAGTGCCCAAACCGTTGATTTTACATTTGCTTTACCATGGCATCGAGTTTTCTTGGTTATAGGCTTCATATATGATTTCAATTATTATGCACCTTAGGCATATATAAAGCGAAGCTTTTTGACATTGTTGTGAAATATCAGTTGCGTTTTTAAATCGTTCGTACGTAATAACTAATGGCGATGATTATCTTCGTAAAAAGATTATCAATGGTCATCCAATTATGTAGATAATAAGGCATCCTTAAACTTCATAAGTTACAATATATGTGACGTGTCGTCATCTGCGACAAACATTCGTGTCACGATTTCTTATTTGGTGTCCCTAGATAAATATAATGATTGATGATATAATTTTCCAGTGATTTTTCGCGCAAAACGCCTATTAAATATTTCTGTCCCTCGATCTTCCCTAAGCTGTAACGTATGACCTACACAAGCCACTTAAGTGAGATCGTGACGTCAGAACTGTATCCAATGCAGCTTGGTCGTCAAACGGCGCAGTAATTCGACACAGCTGTGACGTAATAAACACCAGATTACGCTGTATATGACACTTTGAACGGTCTGTGCGAGACAGTTGAGTTAAATCTCCGAACCCTGCACAGAGACGGTATTGCGTAGTTCCGGAAGATATATTATTAGCGAACTGTCGTAGGTTCCCGGATCTATCAATAAAACGCACCTCTGTGTACTGCAAGCTGCTCATCAGAACATTTCGCAACCGCGTCATTATCGTAGCCGGTTGTTGACGGCCTGCAGTACCGCCCGCAGGGCCATTAGAAGAGCTGTGTTGCTAAGCTTCTCTGGGCTGAGCTGAGACGTGAGCTGGGATCTTCTGGCCGGTTCAGGTTCAGCAGGGGTCACCAATGGACCACGCCTGGGCTCCGGTCGGCAGAGGTCAGGCCGGTCCCGGGTCAGAGGTCACGGGGTCACAGGTCACTGACACGGCACCACACCTCCGGGTCCGGGTGGGCGACAGAATAGCGGTCACAGCTCGCGCAGAGACGATGGAATGGCCCATGCGGACTCGACTCGACCCCCGGGAGGACCCGACGGTGAACGGTGCCGGGTGAAAAGGATAGGGCGGGAGCGGATTGGCTCTGCGGGATGCGTCTCAACTTGGCAGTGAACTTTTGTTTAGCTTTCAAGAGACGGAAGTTATTGAGCTCAGATATCTGTTAGGTATTTGCGATAGCGTTGATGAGGATTATGTTAATGTTATCATCCGAATATTTTATTACACTGGTACGAATCGAATCTTCAACTGGTTTCCAACCACGACAGTTCCACGACAAATCGACAAGTGCCCTGCACCCTCATATTTTATTTTTTGCTTAAAATTGGTCTAATGGGTTGTGATGGGCGGGGAAGCCAGCTGTGGCAAGGATTTTGTTCTTCGAACAACGGTTTCCGAGATAAAGCCTCGGGCAATTCCTGGAGGTCGCGCTACAGCCCTATGTTTGGCGGCCTACAACTCAGAAACTATTGGTTTTCTAGGATAAAAACTTGATATGGTTCAACTCATAATCAACCAACAAACAATTTGGCTATCTCGAATTTTCAATTTTTGAAAATTTTGATCACGTGACCTTTTGACCTATTTTTCGAAGAGTGACCTTGATATTTCCCCACTGAAAGTTGCAGTTTTGTCTGATGACGATTAAAGCCTTATCAATTGTCATTCATATGCGAAAATAAAAAAGTGGCTATCACCCTGCGTTGACCTCAGGTCAGGTCATTTTTATGACCTGTCCATTATTACGAGCGGGAGCGACAGCGAGATCTCGAGAATAAAGCAAGATAGCGACAAGCGGTAAACGGTGCAGAGTACACACGGATAAGGTCTATAATTTTTACTGAGGTCATTTTCAGGTCAGGTCAAAGATGACGTCACAGGAGCAAAAAGGAAGTCAAAATTGCGGCACTACATATATATGAAGTTTTTCTCGAATAACTTTCAAGGCATCCCAGCTAGGAACAAACTAATAGCACCATCGTGATCCTCTCGTCGATCCGCATCAAAACATATGTATGTTGACCTCGAAAGGTCGAAAGGTCAAAAGTTGACCCTAGGTCACGTGACCTAAGGTCAACTCTTGACCTTTCGACCGTTTCTGAGTTACATAGGGCTGCAGCGCGACCTCCAGGAATTTCCCGAGGCTTTATCTCGGAAACCATTGTTCGAAGAAAAAAATTCTTGCCACAGCTGGCTTCCCCGCCCATCACAACCCCTTACACCAGTTTTCAACGAAAAATAAAATATGAGGGTGCAAATTTAATTTTTTATTTGTCGATTTGTCGTGGAACGCCCCAGCCCAAGCAATTGTTTCATCCAATTTCAGGCGGCGTTTTCTTATAGTTTAATAAGATTAATGCATTTCGAGCGCATTATTGATTGTCTGCGAGTAACGTGTAGACCTGAACTGCATAGTATGGCAAGTTTGAAGATTTTTGTCCACGCATATGAACAAATCGCATTGTAATAGCGCCTTTTAATACGTCCCTTGCTGACAAAGTCAGAACCCTGTTAACTGTTACGCCCTTGTTGTAGTGCTATTGGCATGTCATGACAAACGAGGAATTTGATAAACGACGCTGGCGTTGAAAATGTGTCGGCCGGGAGCCAAAGGTTACGTTCAAGTGCGGCATGTCACGAACACGATTACGTCGTGATGGAATGTCTGC